TGTTAGTAGATTTACTTGCATGTAAAAGATCCTCAAGCCTAAATGAAGCCTCTGAGCTAAATTGAAATTGCCTGTTTCTCACCCAAGAAATACCTCTTTCTCTGCTAGTCTCGCCACGTAAAATAAGGCATTAATTCAATTCACGTCACGAACACTGGTCATTCCAGTAAACAATAAAGCGTTTCTCATCCTCTGTGCCATGTCCGTACTATTTCCTATATCAAAATCATGGACCCCGTTGCTTTTGTTTCCTAAAGAATTATTAACAATTTGATGGAAAATCGTAAAGAAAGTAAAAGCACCATAGCGCATGTGATCAGAAAACGTACAACGAGAATTAGCGTTATCTATTTTGTGCACGAATAGAAGCGAATTGACGGAATTGTTTATCGAATGAGGAACACTGTTACGAAATGCTGAGTCATAATTGACGCTGCGGGGTGAACGGACCCGCGATTTTCTTCGACGCGTCTAGCGCGGAACTTTCCGCGCCGCACCCGCTGTGGATCTTCCGCGATGCCAGACTGTGGGAGCATTAATACGACAGAAACACGCTGCCCCCACCCAATTCCCAATACCCCTCCCCCTTTCTCAATCTTCTATTGCCTCGCAGGTACCAGCTCCGGACGGACTCGCGACAGTCCATGACATTACCCATTTTGTGTGTGTGTGCTTACGCAGACAATACGGAGTTTGGCCAGCGTCGAACGTTAAAGCACTATCGATCTTCGGCCCATGCTCAGAAGATCGATAATGCTATCCGCTAGGGCGTGCACAAACTTCCTACTAAAACTAAATTCGTCCTCAAAAATTGCGCTGGTGGTACGCACAAATTAAACTAGTCGATTTATTGAAAGTTTCGTTAGTTTCATAAGTTAAACTAGTCGATTTCTTCAGCTTTTCCCGGTGTTGGTTATTTTGGGAAGAGCGCCACCCTAGAGACCTTAAGGACCAGCATCACTGGTGAAAAGGAGTTAAAAATTCTACATTTTCAGAACCGCTCACACACCATTTTGGCGGAATGCCACTTTAACGTATTATTTTGTTTTGCTTTTTTAATTAAACATTTTTAATTTTTTGAAATGTCTCCCGTGGTTAACATTTACATTACCGACTAATACAATACATTGCATTTATGTGCAGAAGTGCGTCAAATGATTTCAACTGAAGTATCTCTTAAAAAACGAAAGTTTTCTCTGAAATAGAGCTTCCAAGCGTACATTTTCGGAAAAGTGAAAAGGACATTTTGGCAAAATGGCTTTAAATGTTTCAAAATTTACATATATTAGTAAGTTTGACTCTTCTGAACTGATTGAATAAGATAACAATGAAGTATATGTACGTCATACATCGAAATAAAAAAAACATTCTGTAAATGAAGCATATTTTGCATACTTTGCATAACTCTTTCGCCTCCGCAGATGTGAACGCGAAAACTCAAATGTGTGGGGGGTCGATAAATATCCCTTGTTTCACATTTCTGGAAGAGCATTTCTCGGTGTGGTTCATTGCGGGCCTTCGCGGGAAGCAATCGACTGTATTTTTGAGTTGCCGCGCATGCGCCAACTCGAACTCAAGTGTCATCATTAAAAAAATATAATTAATATAATTACTCGGGCAACTTTTTTTGAACGATTGCTTCCCCCTCTCTTGCACAAGAAACAGTTGAAGGCAAAAGCTCGCAGCTAGCACTGATGACAACATTACAAACATCTTCTCTGGCACTAAATAGAAACTATTTTCTGTTAAAGATAGATCTACAGGCGATAATTTTCTCCAAAAAATCTAAAGAAATTACCGAAGCAGTCTTAGATCTATCACAGGAGATGCTTCGAACTCCTGAGAAAGGTGCGAAGGCATGACTGATTCTCTAGAGATTCGCATTGCTTCATAAAATCTAGTGGCCTATTTCGTAACTACTACACCCACTCTACCCGCATTTCTTCAATCCATCGTTCAAGACAAGTTGCGCGAGTAATAGCGGGATCCGCCCAGCCCACCCCTTATTTTAAAGAGGAATCAATCATTCGACATGGATCGGAGATTTAAAATTATCGTTGCATTCAACAAAGTGTTTCATCCGTGAAATCCATAGACGAAGAAGCTTGGCATTATCCAGAAACTCTACGTGATAATTTACCAGTATTTAATTCACTCTTTGTTTAGAGTGTATTGAAAATGAAGTTGGTTTCCATCAAGCAACAACTTTTCCTGAACCAAAAAAAAACTTTTAAATGTACACATTAGCCCATTTTTGAACAGAAGTATGGAATGTATTTAACCACAAAGTAGTTGGAACTGCGTGAATAATTTGGAATATATTGGAAGAACTGAGTGACTTTTTTGACAGAGTTGTTAAATTGGTATTGATTTTAAATCCACTATATGCTCTAAAGAGATTTGTGAAAATCAGTGTTTGTTAAGTTTCTTGTAATCCTGAACATTGCTGTACAGTAATGGTTGTTGGTTTAATAAATGATCCATCTGTGTCTGTGATAGGTCGAACAAAAAACATATTTTCGTGGAAAAGGAAATATTTCTATTTGACTGATACTCTAGCATGTTATATTGTTATTTTTGAAAAGCAAACTCAAGGCTCTGTTACATTTTATGTTTTTCAATTTAAAAATATTAAAAATGGAAATGGTGGTTTTGGCGCATTATGTATTGCATGTTTATGCCGCGACATGTGCAATAAACATTTGGAACCCACTGGGTCTAAAGCTCTCATTTTGTCAGAACACTTGAGGAACTGAGCAAAAAACACAATGGAGCGGGGGGGGGGGGGGGGCAATCCAAATATTACCACAAATTTGTTTTCAACTTCAAAATGGTTACTAGAAATGAGGATATTTGTAAAAGAACATAAACAGCACATTAATATTTTGTTCATATATATTTGAGGGAAATGAGGTTTGACATTCTATTTCTTATAACATTAT